TTAAACTACTATAAAATCTTTTTATTATAAACATCTTATTATTTACTGAGATAATTAACTTCCAAAATTTTAATTTAAAACTTTATTCAATCAGGAATAAAATCCTTCTTAATAACTTGCCAACAATATTAAATTTAAATATTCACTATCCTCTACTCTATTTAACTTTAAATTGCTCTTATTGTAACCAATATAAAAATACTGAACATTTACTCCAATGCTTACTCTATACTTACAATTTACAAAACATTCTCATTAATGAAACTACCAATATTTTAAGCTCTTTAAACTTTTTTAAAGCTTTATTATATACAATAATTTAAATTCTCAACTTACAAAATCTTTTTCCAAACTCTATTATATATAATACAATACTTCTACTTATTCAAGACACAATAATACTTGATCAATATAAACAACTTTAACTAATTTTAAGAAAACTAACTAACAACTTTCTTATCTTCTTATTTAACTCTTTACTCAACTGGTTCAATCTTACTATCTGGCAAACTCATAATACCAAACAATATAAATAAAAATCAACATAAGGAATTACTGCTCTTACTAAAAGAAAAAACAATGTTGGATTACCTATTTTATAACCTTCTAACTTCAACAATAATATATTTGTATTTAATACTAATATAAACTAATTTATTTTTAAATTAAAAGTTAATATCATACTAGATGTTATTATATATAGTAACAATAGTGTAGTTTAGGAATATTTTATTTATATATTTATATTTAATTAATATATTTATATATTACTATTTTTCTTACTTGATATTATATAATAAAAAAAATAAAAAAAAATAATTAAAAAATAAAAAAGTTTTATTAATAACATATTTTAATTTACTATATAAAAATTTATTATATTATCTAGGTTATATGAAAAATAATTTATATATACACTCTATTCTGATTAATAAATCTAAATAAACTAATTAGATAATAAAATTAAATATAATATATAATTAAAACAATAACAGTTTTTTATATAAAATTATATTTGTATAAAAATTTTTTGCTTAGTTTTACTATAATGTTTCTACTAAATCTAACTTTAAATTATAACTGAAATGTCTTATTTTTTAGTTTGTTTTCTATTTTATTAAATTAAATTATTATAAAAAATATATACAATTTTAGTTTTTTTACTATTAAACAATATAGAAATATATTATTTAGTATAATCTGTTTTGATTCTAATAAAATTATTATTATAATATTTTTAGTACTAGTTTAGTTTGTTTATAGTTTCAAAAAATGATCTTTAATAAAAATCTTATTAATCATAAATAATATAATTAGATATAAACAAATATTACAGGGATGAGGTCTTATAGCTTATTAGTCTAGACATCTTTTTCTTCACAGATAAGGTCAATAGTTCAATTCTAGCTAGAGACAAAACTCTGTAATCTATAAAAGCATATAAATGTACATGAAGCCTTGTGGCTTAAGTCTATGTAAATAGAAGATTAGTATATAAGGAAGTTCTCAGAAAAAAGTTTTCTAATATAGAGAATTGATGCTCGATGCAAGAAAAGTAGTGAATATATCAGAAATAAAAAGAAGGCATACTAGCAAGTAATATGATAAACATAAAAGAAAACTATAGAAAAGAAATAAACTTACTGAAACTTGAACACCTCTGGCATCAAAACTGATTTAGTGAATATGGAATACACTAACACAGATAAAAATCTAAGGAAGTAATCTTGATATCATACTTAGTAAGTTTGCATCAAGGGTAAATTTGAAGAACTATAGATACTTGGTAACATTCAATAAGGTGGTATCTTAATATAAATAGTAATTAGATAGCCCTAACCTAGTATGTCTATGTGGTAATAGAAGGTTGTAATGCATAAGATTGAAAATTAGAAAGTTTAAATAAGAGATTTACAAGCAGATCTCAGATATAATAGCTAGTAGATAACCCTTAAGCAGAACCCTTAATTAGATAATAACTAAAGTTATACATGTAGCTAATTATACTTTTGTTGATAAACTTTGTATTAATTAATAACCAGATATTACTCAATAAAAAATAGATAGACAAGATTGCTGCTTTTAATATAAAAAAAAAATATATAAACAAATATTATATAATTTGTATTATATCGAATAAAGCAATTTGATTAAATAATATAATATTATAAATAACTAATTTAGAACCAAATTTAGACTAGAACTAAAATAACTATAAAACTTTTGAAAAGACTAGTTCAAACTAGTTTTTTTAAAAACTATTAACTTTTAAAACAATCTATCTAGTTGTATATAGAATAATACAAAAATACTTTATCTTATTTATAATTACTATTTTAGTAAGTTATACAAATTAGGATTACCCAAATATAACTAAAGTAAAAAAAATCAATATAACTTGAATAAAAGTTAGTTTTACAAAAAAACAAATTTAATTTACAATATTTTTTATTTATCTACTAATATATAGTAATTTAATTATCTTATATTTACTAAAACTAATTATTAAACTTATTAATAATTATGATTAAACATGTAATTATAACTAGTTTGTTATATATTTAACTAATTCAAAACAAAAGTTTTAATACAAGTACTCTAATTATCTAAAAATAAAAAACTACTTTAATATTATTATAAAAATTTTTAATATTATATAATAATCAATAGCAAATTAACTAATAATAAGCTATAATTTAATGTAATATAATACAATTAAAAATTTAAAACAAACATTAAAAAATTATTATTTTAACAAAATTTGTATATTTTATAAAAATTTAAATAAGAACTTATTTTTTGTTTTTTAATAAAAATTTTTTAAGCAATTTTATTAAGTACTTAGTCTTATTAAAAACACTAACTCTAACCTAAATAAAATTTTTAATTGTATATAATAGTAGAATCTTTATAAAAATATCCAGTTATGTGATTTCTGATATTTTGAAAACTATTTTAGTATTGCTACAAAATGTTGCAATTATATAAGATTTTGTAGTACAAATAAATCAAATTTTAAGATTAAATTTCAAATTATAAAAATTTAAAACAAATATATACTTTGTTAAAAATTATCTAATAACTCAAAAATTTATATAAAAAACTATTTTTAGTGTACTAACAAAAATTTCTTAAATAATTTTATTATTAAACCTTCTTTAACTTTAAATGTTAGCATAGATCTTAACTTAATTTAAACAAACTTTAAAGAATTTTCAATTTTTATATAACTGCAACATTTTAATAATAATACTGAAGAAAACTATTCTGAATAATTATCTATAAATCAATATTTAGAATCTAATATAATATGAAATTTTATAAAATCAACAAAATTTTTTTTAAAAATTGCAAATAGCTTAAAATTTTACTAATTAAAAAAATTTTTTTACAAAATTTTATTATATAATATGATTTTCTAATTCTAAATATATGTTTTTTTTATTTATATGTTGTCTTTATATCAAATTAAATGTTTCAGAAATTACATGATCTAAAACTTAGTTTTAAATTCTTTAGTATCAACATCAAAATAATGCAATCATGTGAGAATCAAAAATTCTTTAAAGTTCATTCAGATTAGAGTTAAGGTCTATGCTAATGTTAAGGTTAAAGAAGGTTTAATAGTAAAATTGAATGTACAATGTTTTATTTGAACTTGAAATCTGATTTGTTTGCATCACAAAAATTTTATGTAACTGCAATATTTTGTTAGAAATATCCCAATATTACCACCAAAATGTTGTAGTCACATGTTTTTTGTGGCACAAACAAATCAGATTTTGAGATCGGATGAAACATTACACAATCAGAAAAATTCAAAACAAACATTTGCTTTGTTATAACTCAAAAATTTATAGGTCTTGCATACCAACTTCATACAAATTGACTGTCAATTTGTACGACTGTCAGTTTGTACAAAGTTGGTATGCAAAACCTGTACATAAGAAGCCGTCTTTAGTGCACTAGCAAAAAAATTCCTCAAGCGATTTTACTACTAATTTCTTTAATCTTAACATTACATAGACCCTAAACGAACTTTAAAGAATTTTCGGTCCTCAAGCGACTGCAACATTTTGGTGGCTGGGGTAATTCTTCGTTTTCGTTTAAAGCCACATTACGGAATTACCCGATATACGTCCCGCATTATTCCGAACCACCCAACAAAGCTAAAAACACGAAAATATAAAAAATGGTAATAGGTAAAAGTGTCAGAAATGCGATTTTACTATATGTCTAACCCTAACCCTAATATTAATTAAAAATCGGAAAACCGGAAAGCGCCAGGCTTTAAACGCCCCCCGTATCGAGCAGCTTGGAGGAAAATTAAGTTCCGTAAAAAAATTATGTAAAGTCGTATAAATTAATGTAGTTTTTTATTATCTAGAAATTTTGTAGGAAAAAGTTCGTGATGTAGTTGACCGGCTTGACAGTTAAAATAATTATCGACTTGAAAAATTATCGTAATTTTGTAAGTTTTTGAAATCAAGATTACATGTAATTTGTAAGAAACGTGATCATTCAATCTTGGATCGTATGCGCTTTGTTTTTCATAGTGCTAGCACTACATATTACTCGTGAAATTCATGTTACTGGAATTACACGTATATCACCATCCTAAAAAACTTCGCCGACTATGCGATCTTATTAAAAACATTGTTTCGCGGGTTAAGGTCCCACCAGTAGGTTAGTGTTTGGTTTAAAGGGTTATGGTTATAGTAAAATTTCACGTAGAAGGCTTGCATTGCACAATATCTTGAAATCTGATTGACCAGAGAAATTAATTATACCTATTATTGTAACTTAACAGACTCTCGATTTTGATTGGCTAACGGCCGTGGTCTACAAAATTTTGACCCGTATTACATAATTGTCTACATAATTTTTGGCCGGAATTAACTTTTTAACTTTTTTTGGTAAAATTAGCCCGGTATAGTTTCGCAGAAAAATAGAAAAAGCTGGCATTGTTTAAAATTAGCCAATCAAATTATGGGTATAAAATGATAAAAATTCACGACTTTCGAATTCTTCAAACTATAAACGCGACTTTGTTATTTATACGAAATGGTATGTATATGGATTTTAGTATACTACAAAATACTAAATAATGCCCTTTGAATTTTCTAAAACTGTTATTATTATTTTTTATAGCTACCGCTTTCCCTGTTGAACATTGCTCAAGGGCATCCAATGGCTTGTAATCTTTTCATCAATAATGAATTTCATTTTTTAAACTTCGAAACGTCTTAGAAACAAAATTTCACACAAATTTCCCTTAAATTATTGTTGTACAGCTAGTTGAATTGAAAAATGGAGAAACTTTCAATGGACATTTGGTAAATTGCGATAATTGGATGAATCTAACTTTACGGGAGGTTATACAAACGTCACCGGTAACGTTTAGTTTAGTTTAATATAATGACCAAACTTAATATAATGATCAAACTTAATATAATGATAAATATTCAAATTGTCATGATTCATTTAGGAAGGTGATAGATTTTGGCGATTACCTGAATGTTATATTAGAGGAAATACGGTAAAATTTCAACATTGCCTTATTATATGCATTATTTGTTGGGTATCCTTAATGATAATATTATTTTGTTAAAAGATTAAATATCTTCGCGTGCCGGATGAAGTGAGTACATTTTTATGGTATCGAGATTGTCATTTACTTAAAATGGAGTTACTCAAATTTAATAACATAGATCATAGAGATGGTAAAAGATGATGCAGTACGACAACGTCAAGCACCCGTTGGCAGTGGTCGTGGACGTAAGTATTTTTTAGTAATGTTCTTCTTTTCCAATTTTATTCGTAAGTTATTTATTATTTTTTTCTTTTTTGTTTTTTAATTTTGTCATTAGGTGGAGCTCGTAGTGGTAAATTTAAAAAAGTTTTGTGCATCTAAAATTATAGACACATTTCTTCATTTTGCTAAAAATATCTACTTTTTATAAACAGGTGGAAGAGAAGGTGGTTCTAGAGGTCGTGGTGGCGGTGGTGGAAGTGGACGAGGCAAGTCTACTAAAAAACGTCAATGATTACAATTAGTATTTGGATCCCGGATATTTAATTGGACGTCCTATACTGTATTTCTTAAATCGGGTTTATAAGTAAATGTTCACTCAGTTATGTGTTTAAATTATATATTTCATTGTTTTATTGTGATATTTGATTTAATAAATGAATGTATGTAATTGAACAGATAGGTAGTTAATAAAGTACCTTTCTTGCTGTCGCTAGAGTTTTAACCCGATTTTATTTTTCATGTGTTGAAACCGATTAAAACCGGTTTTAGCATACTAAGAATATATCTGGTTCCAAACTCTATAACAATATTAGATTCATGTTGGTTTTTTTTTTCGTCTTTTTTCATGTGGAGTTGAGTCAATAGAAATCAAGCAAATTTTTTCTAAGTAAATTTTTTTAAAACTTTAAACAATGATAACTTAACTAAAACTTTATCAAATTTTATAAAATTTTTTTGAAATAAATGCTACATATTTGTAAAATTCATTTAAAAAAATTTTTATTAAATTTGATTAAGTTTTTATTGAATTATTGTTGTTTAAAGTTTCAAAAAAATTTCAATAAAAACAATTTGCTTGATTTCTATTGACTCACCCCATGTTATGAAGTTAGAGAGAACCAAAAGCCCCATAGCTTAACCACTAAAATCATTCACGTATAGTCCAAAAGTCATAATGTCTCAGCACTCCTTTTAAGTTGTTATTCAAAAAACTTGGCATTTTTGGGAATCGTCTAAAGCGGGGCAAGTCATATGAACAACCGTCAATCAAATAGAAAATTTGATGATCCCGGCGAAGCAAAACAAAGAAGTAAAAATCGTGAAAAATAGAAAAACGGAAACTTTAGCCCACCTTGGTGCATTAATAAGAAGGCAATTTTACTTTTACAAATACCCCTAAACCTATCCTAATCTAAAGTGAAAACCCTAAAGTTAATCGAGCAAATTATTAAGAAATATGTTTGCTCCGCTTTAGACGTCCCCTATTTTTGGCAAACTATTTATCGTTATGCTAATATAACGATAGAAATTCATATTACTTAAGACTATCATGATTGCATGTAGTGATTGTAGATTTGGTATGCAATTTAGTTGACCAGGCCGATTTTTCAGAACATTGACTTAGTTGATTTAATTAAAGTATATAGGAAAAGTCGAAATACATCCTTGGCATACTACGGGCAATTGACTGAGTATAGACGAAAGTAACCTTGGTAGGACAGTCAAATATTAGTAATAAATATACCCTGATCATTATATTAAGATTTAGCAAAAATATTCTGATCTGTATGTGCACAAGCGGAAACGAAATTTCCGCTAATACCAACGGCTCAGGATATTTTTATTGCTAATTAACGTTAACTAATTTCGTGTACTGCATTCAATTTAGAACGCTAAAATCACATTAATTTTTGGTTGTTGCATTTTGATTGGTCAATTAGAGCATTAAATTAAATCCATGATTTAATGATTTTTACACGTCAGTTGAAAAATGCGTACGGGTCTCTTTTTCTATTTCCAGTTAATTTATTACGATGTATTACTCCGCTATCTATAGTTGTAGTAGAAAAATATTATTAATCCACAAGGATACGGAAAGGTTTTCTCCTTTTTTGTAGAGCTTTGGCGGTGGGGGTGATATGATAGCTGGGCTCAAGTTACGACAAATCGAAATGGTAAAATTAAGGGCGTTATCTGAGTTTTGTTACGTTTATAGGGCTGGAACAACTTGCTTTTTTATAGTATAGTTAGTTTTTTGCATCTATAAAAGTTTCCGGATTCTATATACTATAATTAATATCGACATGTATGTTTATAGTTTTATTTTGTCCTCTCCGTTAGTACCTAACTCTAGGCTGGATCGAGTTTTTTTTGAGTATTTTATATTTTATTCACTTATGCTTACGTTCATTGTTGGATACAACTTCGGATTGTTATAAACTTAGTCGTGGGATACACCTTTACGTGGTGACTAGAACAATTAGGCTAATATTTTTTTTTAGCTAAAACTAAGTACAGTCAACTTTTAATATAATTACCAGGTTGTGAAACAAAAATTTAGCGATTATAGTCAGACCTTGTTATAGCACAACCTTGCTATAGTCACACTATTTGTTGTTCCTAGTTAGTATAAAACATGAAGTGAAGTTAATAGAAAGGATTAAATTTTTTTTAAAGCAAAAGTTTTTTTAACTTTAGGCTTAAATATCTCAATAATTATCTAATCAAATTTGATAATTTTTTTTATTTTAATTTTGTAAATTTTAAAAAAAAATTTATCTATTTGATTAGATAATTGTTAAGATATTTTAATTTAAAAATTAATAAAAAATTACCAAAAATGATTTGCTTTCTTTATTGATTTTTTTATACATAGATTTTGATTTTCATATAATTACAATTTTTTTATACAATTATAGCAATGTTTTAACTATATTAAAAGTAATTATAATAAGATTTGACAATATATTTGTATATTGCTTTTTGAAAATTTGATTAGTTATACATAGTAAAAATTTTATTTTTAATAATTAAGTATATTTACTAAATAATAAATTGCAAAAAAATTAATTGCAATTATTTAAACTCAATTAATTATTGTATAGTTCCGAAATTAAGCACATCTTTTTTGTTATAAGGGGTGCTTAATTTTGGATAAATTTTTTTTATTGTGATAAACTTTATGATATGATGTAATTAATATAAATAAATATAATAACAAATAAGAAATAAAAATTCTTAATATTATTACATATTATGTCACTACAAAACAAATATAGAAATAAAGCTGCTCAAAAAAAGAAAGTCATTAAATGTAAATGTAATTCATATTCTATCAATCAAAAGAAAAAGTTATTGACTATGCTAAAAAAAATAGTAGAAATAAAGCTGTAACAATTTTTAAGCTTAATTGTAGTATGATTAGTTGTTAGATTAAAACAAGTAGACTATGAAAAACTGATATTAAACAAAGTGTCAAACAAGTTGGCTCTGGTCAGAAGGAATTTTATCCTAAAGCAGAAAAAAAGTTATATAATTGGATTATTAAACAATAAAAACAAGAATTTGGTATATCTTGTAAACTTGCCTGAATTAAAATGCTTAATATTTTAAAAGAACCTATATATGATAATTCTATATAGCAATTCAACAGAAGATTTAAAACATCAAATTATTGGATATCTGCATTTATGAAAAGATACCAACTGTCTTGGTGACACTATACTAAAGTTTTACAAAAACTTCTTTTAGAACTAATGAATTATTGAAAAAATTTCATCAATTTGTTATCCATTTTAGAAAAAAGAAAATCTTATAAATTATCTAATATTCTTAATATAGATAAGACTTCTGTCTAGTTTAACATGATTAAAAACTTTATTATTGATCATAAAAGCAAAAAAACAATTCATATTCATGGAATTAACAATAACAAAAATCAATTTATTATAGTTTTAATATGTACTGTAGGTAGAATTTTTTTATAATATTTGTGTAATTATTGTTTTTTTTTAATAATATTATTTATATGATTATTGTATATATATATTATTTAAATAGAACAAAGTTTTTTCCAATTTGTATTTTCAAAGGTAAATGATTACCACATAATAAAAAAATTTTATCTGATATTATAATTTGGTTTTAAAATAATAGATGAATAAATTCTGATCTAATAATACAATACATTAATTATATTATAAATATACAAACTAATTATAAATATGAGAGTCTAACAATAATGATATACAATTCTTTTAAAAGACATTTAAAAAATTTAGTTAAAGAAAAATTTTATGTTAATAATATTAATTTAGTATATTCTAGATGATTTGACTAGTATTTGTTAATTACTTAATATTATAATTAATAAACTGTTTAAGAACAATTTTTATAAAGAATAACATCTTTAGATAACAAAAGGTGATGCTAGAAAAATTGTAGCTAGAAACTTTAAATATGTTAGAATAAGCAATATATATAAGTAAGTAAAAAATTTCTAAAAATAAATACCAAATGATATTATTATTAAATCCTTTATAAAATGTGATATCACAAATAATTTAAATAAAAATAATAATATTAATAGTAGCAGATTAGAAAAATCCTAGTAATAAATACAAAAATGACAATATTGAAATCATAAATATTAGTAAAAATGATGAAAGTATAGATATTGATGAAAACAATAAAATTATAAATATTGATAATAATAATAAAATTATAGATATTGATAATAATGATAAAATTATAGATATTATAGATATTAGCAATGATGATATAAAAATGATAGATATTAGTAATGCTAATAAAGTTATAAACCATAGCAATAATATTAAAATTATGAATATTAGCAATAATTAGTTTATTTGTTGTAATTAAGATATTAGAATTGTATAACATAATTGTATAATTTAATTAGTTAATATTAAATAATTTAAATAAATAAATATATTAAATATATCCATATGAAGTCAAAAATACAAAACTATTATAAACATATTAGGTGCTTATTTTTAGATATTTTATACAATTTGGTAATACTTAATTTCAGAAGATGCTTAATTTTAGAATTATATACTAACTAATTAGTAATATAGTTACTATATAATAAATTAATTAATCTGGATGAACCAACCAGACTGCCGAAATTTCCGAGTTCTGGAGGAAAAGAGTACATGCTGGCAAACATGTAAATCAGAAGTACAGTCTCACTCTACCTTTCCAGGCTATCTGAAATGGCAGCTTAAATTGAATACCAAAGTAGTAAGAATATGTTGTGAAGTAAGTACCAGGGTTGAAGTGAACTCTACAAGGGCATAATGGTTTAATGGTATGCCCTGATTGCCAGTATTGGTCTCGGCCATAGCAATACCAGGTCAGCTGTAAGAATGGGATACAGAAGATTCTGAAAGGTTTAATACAAGGTCAAAGGTTTCAAAGAACTGCTTTAAAGACTTAGTGGCCATAGCATATTTTTACCAGCATCGGCCAGGGTCATTGGTAGGTAGA